GTTGTGATGCCAGACGTTGTGATGTCAGATGTTGTGATATCAGACGTTGTGATGCCAGACGATGTGATGTCAGATGTTGTGATGTCAGATGTTGTGATGTCAGAAGTTGTGATGTCAGATGTTGTGATGCCAGACGTTGTGATGTCAGATGATTTGATGTCAGGCGTTGTGATGTCAGACGATGTGATGTCAGACGTTGTGATGTCAGACGATGTGATGTCAGACGTTGTGATGTCAGACGTTGTGATGTCAGACGATGTGATGTCAGACGATGTGATGTCAGACGATGTGATGTCAGAAGTTGTGATGTCAGACGTTGTCCGATGTGTCTGACATGATCTTGTTGTTCAGGCTCCTCAGCTGATGGTGCAGACACCTGAGATAGAGCAGCAGGCGTCTGCAGAAGACGGGGATAAGAAGGAAGCGTTGGAAAGGTGAAACAAGTCACTGGAGTGAGCAACACGGTCAGATGTTTGGTTTGTCATGATTCTACTGTGGGATCTTTCCAGATATGAGGTCTGCAAACGGACTCTGCAGGTCCATCTGGCTAAAATCGAACAGAGTTTCAAAGAGATTCCTTCTGACTCTGTTTCCCTGAAGGGTCTGCACACACGGCTCCAGGAACTGCAGGTAAACTTCGTGTGTTTCACCTCCTCGAGGACCTTGTGTGTTCAGATGTTAGACACAAAGTGATCCTCAGGTTCTGGTTCTGTTTGCAGTTCCTGCGGCAGGAGACTGAGTCTCTGTGGTCTGACTTCGAGACCCAGTGCTCCCAGCTAAGCGGGGTCTCCTCTGTGGAGCAGGAGAAGGCTGAGCTGCAGGAGAAGTGGCGCAGCCAGCAGCAGAACCTTCAGAGGAGAGGCAGTTCTCTGGGTTCTGCTCTCAGACAGATCGACTCCACTGAGAACCACATGGTGGACTTCAGCGAGCGGCTGGACCGGTACCTGAGACAGCCCAAAGACATCAGTGGTTTCAGCCTGTCCAACAGCAACATCCTGAAGGACATCAAGGTCTGCCGTCAGATCAGACAACTTATGATTCACACATTTAGTCCAACTGATTTTGTTTTTAGTCACTTCGAGACCAAAAATTAAAACTTTATTCTAATCCAGACCCAATCTGTTTATTTAGTGTTTTTTAGATTAATTATAAAAATGACCCTTTTTATAAAATAATTTATTTTTATTTAGAATAGAATAGAATAGAATAGAATAGAATAGAATAGAATAGAATAGAATAGAATAGAATAGAATAGAGT